TTGTGGTATGATGTAGTGTGGTATGATATACTATGATAGAATATGTTGTGGTATGATGTGGTGTGGTGTGGTGTGGTGTGGTATACTGTCATAGGACATTTTGTTGTATGATGTGATGTGATGTGATGTGAGTGAAATGGTATTATATGATGCGGTATGACGTGGTGCGATGTAGTGTGTGTGGTACGGTATTTTGTGACGTGGAATTATGTGAAATGATGTGGCGTGTATGGCACGGTATTATGTGATGTGATACTATGAGGTGTGATGATGTGTTTATGGTGTAGTATTGTATAATGAGGTATGATGTGGTATGGTGTGGTATATGGTGTGGTATGATATGGTATGGTATGGTATTGTATGCCCTGATGTATATGGTATGGTATAGTATGGAATAATGTGGTATGATGTAGTGTGGAATGGTAAAGTATGGTATGGCATGGTATGATATGGTATGGTATGGTATGGTATGGTATGGTATGGTATGGTATGGTATGGTATTCTCTCTATCTTGGGGATATGAAAGATTACTATTTAATAATTTTCGATGGAAGTGGCTGTATACTCATGGGAATACCACACCACTCTAGAAGAAATGCAATGCATCTTAAAATAAAATCCCCTGAAAAGCAAGCTTCAATGCGTTGCGTTAGACTGTTTTGAAGTTAATCAATCTGTCAAAAAGACATCTCAAAGATAAAATAGAGTGATTGAGCAATATTCAAAGTGTTTGTATTGGGGTGGGGGTGGGGGTGAGGGTAGAGAGATCGGGCTGGGGGATAGAGAGGGAACATTGTGGGTCATGGGTCGTGCTGTTGTATCTGGGGTTACGTAATTTTCCAACTTTGAGGCATCATATTATATGGCAAGTGGGATCTATAGTTAATTAAGCTTATTGCATGGCACAAAAAGAGACTAGAGTTCGATTCCGGAGCTGGTTTTAATTGGTCACTTTTAAGCACAAGGGGGCTATCCCGAAAAATGCTGTTTTGAGAAAATCGAAGGTAAACCTTTTGGACCCTTGTCCAGTTTTTAAAAAAGACAAGGACAGTTTTCTCTATAACCAAACAGATATACACACCAATGAAACCAAACGTCTGTAATAGGTAAAGCAATGCCCACTTTTGTTGTAGATCAACATTTCAGGAAACCCCCGAAATCTGGATAAGCCTGCTTGTCCTTAAACGTGATCAATTGATTATCGCTGTGTGTCTACTGTAGCGGTTTTGGACATGCCAGGCATGGCTGAAGCAGCGTGCTTCTTTACCAACCAGATAGTTGCAGGATGCATAGAGCATGCAAGCTGTAGAGCATGGATACGTGCTGTATAAGTGCAATTCTTTTTCTTCCTGTTCTTCTTGTTCTTGTTTTTATTCTTGTTCTTGTTCTTGTTCTTGTCCTTGTTCTTGTTCTTGTTCTTGTTCTGGTTCTTCTTCTTCTTCTTCTTCTTCTTCTTCTTCTTC